TTTCCTGAGGCAGCGGTGGGTCTTTATCACAATCAACAACTGTTTCATGGTGACAGGACTAGCTTTATTAATTGAATTCCAGATTTATCAATTGAATTCAAATTTCCCAGCTGCCACGATATGCTTCACCCATGTCCCCAAATGATTAAGGCATTTGAGAAAAGTTTCCAGACACTTTTAAATGAATTGAAGGTTCCTGCCTACTTTTAAATGAATTGAGGGTTACTGCCTCTACTAGCCTTTCAGGCAGTGAGTTCCAAGGGGTGATGGCCTAGTGGTATTATCACTGGACTATTAATCCAGAGACCCAGATAATGTTCTGGGGACCTGGGTTCGAATCCCACCACAGCAGGTGGTAGAATTTGAATTCAATAAAAATATCTGGAATTAAGAATCTAATGATGACTCTAATAATCTGATGAATCTAATAATTAATCCATTGTCGATTGTTGGGAAAAACCCATCTGGTTCACTAATGTCCTTTAGTGAAGGAAACTGCCATCCTTACCTGGTCTGTCCTACATGTGACTCCAGACCCACAGCAATGTGGTTGACTCTCAACTGCCCTCTGGGCAATTAGGGATGGGCAATAAATGCTGCCTGGCCAGTGACGCCCCCATCCCGTGAATGAATAAAGAAAAAAATATATACTATCACCTGGGTGAGAAACATCTTTCTCATCTCCCCTACAATCTTTTTGCCAATCACTGACCTCTCCACTAAAATGAATAGGCCTTCCCACGCATTCTATCCAGGTCTCTCAAAGTTTTGTAAACCTCAACCAAATCTCCCTCAGTCTCTTCTGTTCCAAGGGGAAGAATCCCAGTTGATCCAATTGTTTTGTTTTTCATTGTTGCATCTTTCCATTCCTGTTACCTCTCGTTAATCCTTGCTTGTGCAACCATACAATGTGACCAGAGCTGCATAGTACCCAAGTTTTGGCCTAATTGATGATTTATATAGTTTTTAAAAAATTCATTTTTGTGGGATGTGGGCCTCGCTGGCTGGTCAGCATCTATTGCTCTTGAGAAGGTGATGATGAGCTGCCTTCTTCAACCGCCACAGTCCACCTGTTGTGGGTTGACCCACAATGCCACTAGAGAGGGAATTCCAGGATTTGGACCCAGCGACAGTGAAGGAACAGCGAAATAGTTCCAAGTCAGGATGGTGAGTGGTCCACTATAGGATAGTGGGAGCAGTTAAGATGTTTTGGTAACACAACTGTAATTCCAGGTTCAAAAACAAAGTTGCTGGAAAAGCTCAGCAGGT